GGGAGGCGGGGAATGTTCTATAAGGCATGTGCTACAGTAGAGTAGGTATTCCTGCTGGGACCCATCAAAAATAGGTGTCTTGCAGATGGTACTTGTGGCATGTTCGCCCTGCCAGATCTACAGGGATAGCTGCTCAGATAGGGTGGCCTCAAGCCATGAAGGGCTTTAAGGATCAAAACCAGAACCTTGAATTGCACCTGGAAGCAAGTTACACGATTCTCACAGCAGAAGTGCAACACATGCTACTTTAGAGTGCCCACACTACTGCATTTCATACCAGTTAAAGCTTCTGGATACTCTTCAAGAACAACCCTATTACAATATTCCAATCTGGAGGCAACTAGTACATGAGTGACCATAACTAAAGCCTCCCCATGTAGAAACTGGTGCAACTAGCACATAAGATGAAGTTGCAAGGCCCTCCAAGCCATGACTGCCACCTGCTTCTGGGGCACGAATTGTGAGTTCAGACAGACTCAACAGGTCTGTCTGAGGCAGTACCACTCTATCTAGCACCAAAGATAGTCCTAGAACAAGTAGATTCCAAAACTCAAAGCCACTCAGTCTTGCCATGGTTAAGCTGAAGCCTGCTGTTTCCCATCCAGACCCTCACAGCCTCCAGGCTTACTTCACCATGATCAGGTACAATACTGTGCCACTCACCCCCATCCTCTGAGCTGTTTGTAACATGAAATGACATCTAGGCGTTAGTAGGTTATTTATTTTCATGTACTAATATCCTCCTAAGTATTTTCATTTTTGCAAATTAAAATGCGGATTAATTTGAAGTTAATTTTATTTTAGCTTTTCTAAAATATTATCTTGGGGATTCAATGATAATGCATGACACGTTAAATCACTGCAACCTGTTAAAAATTCATTCAAATCATCAAAGTCTTTTTCATTTTCTAATATTTATTTGCTGACATTTGATAGTTTTGTTCTGAATTTAATTTTTTAAAGGTTTAAAATGTTGACATCCTTTTGGTTCTGTTCAAGTCTCAATAACTGAATTGTAAATTAAAAACCCTTATGGCTCTGTTGGGGAAAACAAATAAAATACCTTTCATAAGATCAGACTTCTCTGAAGAGAGAAAAAGTTATTTTCATTATAAAAACTTACATATATAGACAGACAGACAGACAGACAGACAGACAGACAGACAGACAGACAGACAGACACAGACAGACACAGACAGACAGACAATTCCAGATACATGGACCCTCCCAAAAGAATACTTATGATGCGGCTCCAAAGTTCTGATGGCCTGTAGCAGCCATATGATTGCATTTGGGGCATATGGCAAGTAATGCTGTTTTATGGCCATTTGGAGCATCCTGCAATTGTGAGCAAAATTTATGATGTTTTTAGCAATAGCACTTAACCTTATATACAACTACCCCATAGTGCTTTACAATACTTTCTGAGCAGTTTACAATGTTAGCATTATTTGCATATTGCCCCCAACAATCTGGGTCGTCATTTTAATGACCTCGAAATGGAAGGTTGAGTCAACCTTGAGCTGCTCAAGATTGAACTCCTGGCTGTGCGCAGAATTAGCTTGCAATACTGTATTCTAACCACTGTGCCACCACGGCTCATAATTTGCATTTACTTCCAGTTTTTGGCAGAAACACCCCATAGTGAAGAATGGGTTTGCTTAACTACCACGGATTCATATAATGACCATAGTGATTTGCTTAATGACTAACCACAAAAAAGCTCGTAAAATTGGATTAATTATGTAATGACCAAGGCAGCACAGTGGCTCAGCAGTTAGACCCTGGGCTTGTCAGCCGGAAAGCCGACAGCCCAGCTTTGAGATCTGAGTTCTATGCAACAGGGTGAGCTTCCATCCTCATTTTAGCTCCTGCCAACCTAGCAGTTCGAAAGCATGCAAATCTGAGTAGATAAATAGGTACCACATTGAAGGGAAAGTAACAGTGCTCCACGATGTACTGGCCACATGACCATAGAAATACCTTCGGACAGTGCTGGCTCAGTGGCACTGAAATGGAGATGAGCACTGTCCCCTAGAGTCAGCAAGGACTAGTGGAGTAAAATCCACAAGGACTCCATATGATGATCCGCTTTACAACTATTGTGACTTATGACCATAATGGACAGGTATTTTTATTTCACTTGCAAATTGAAAGTTTTCGGTAGAGATCTCTCTTTTGTATTGTCTTGATATTCTTAAATTGATACCAATTTAATCATTTAGCACATGTGTAGTTTTTTTTAACAATCACTGTCTCAGAATCTGTGAAAACACCACCAACAAACAGTGTGTTGACATAATTCTTATATTTGTCCCTAATATGACAGAGGTTTGGCTGAAAGACTTAAGGGAAAATAATAGCTTTCTGAAAACTAAATTGTCAGCAAATGCATTATTTGAGGTTTCAGAAAATGCTTATTGATGTTGTTGATTTTAAGAATTCTAGATTCTAATATATATGCATTATTTTTATATAGACATAATGTATATGAACCATTTGGTATGAGCATGAAAATGATGCCACTAACTCAAGGAACCTGTAATCTAAAGTTGACAATGAATATAAACGAAGGTTAAGTAGGAGGAGATGTGTTCTTTAAATAACTTGAACTTTAAATTATGTGACATCTCCAAGGTAGTTGAAATGAAACCAGAAACATTTTGTGAATATTCTGAAACTCATGTAATGCTGATTAAATGCCCTTTGGATCAGATGATGTCATATAGGCCTTAAATTTCTTCAACAAAGCTAAAAGGATCTGTTGCCTATTTGAATAAAATAAATTTGCTGTCACTTTATTTCACAGGAGGCAGATGTGATTTACTCATTTCACCCTTTTTATTCTTTCTTTTTGTAATTTAGGCTTCTATTCCATTTCTGTTCGTCCCCATGTGGCAGTGGAGTTCAAACTCCCTATTTTCAGAACTATTTCCAATTTGATTGTTTTATTTATTTATTAAACAAATTTATGTTCTGCCAAAATCACTGAGGTTCTCAGTGATTCCCACAAATAAGCATAAACAACAACAACAACAATAAATAAGATCATAACTACAATTTAAAATCCAAATAATACATGGTATCAGGTCCCCTAAATCTCTCCAGAAAATAGCTGCCTTTATTTTTAATGGAACGCAGATAGCTTTTGACAACTATCCACAAAAAAACAAAACTTTGAAGGCTCTTCAGCTGCAAACTCTTTGGAATAAAAAGTTGAATTGGGTGTATGAAAAGTTTTTTTTCTTGTGCTGTACTTTCTTATATTAGAACTGACTAAAAAAGAAGTGGACAGTTCAAGACTTTACAATTTGTTAGGCTTAGATTTGATAGCCTAGAGTTTTGACCATTTTCTTGTCTGTATCTCATGTAATATCCATACATTAAGATATTCTGAATTTTTTATACTCCATTTTTCAGCCCAGAGTTATTGTATGCTATTCATCAAACACTCCATGGCACAAATATGAATTATTACAGTTAGGCTTTTGTCGCTCTTTGACACATAACTGATTCTATAAATTATTTAAGCCTTTAAAGTAATAAAGAATAGGACTGTGCAGCACCTTAGAAATAATATGGAAATACTATTATAGAGCACACTACAGTATGAATGTACATCCATCTGCAACTTTTTAAAGTAGCTGGTTTTTTTAATGAAATTAACACAAATTTTGATTTTGTTAAGCAGATGTGATTTTTTGAAAATTATTTTTCCATATTTTAGGATATTTTCACACTCGCCTATTCCATGATACTTTTGTATGGCAGATACTTCTATAAGAGAATCTGCCTAATATAAAGAGGTAGGATGATGGTACCTCCATCAGCAATTTTATAAATGTTGGGAATTTGTGGAAACCATCAAAACTTAGGGAAACTAAACAGAAGTTGAGTAATCTCCCTGAATGTTGATTTTCCTCTCTGGGGAGAGGAAGTTAAGAAAGATTAAGTTGTTGGATCAAAGCACTGGATCAGTTCATAGAAAAGAACAGTGCTTCCATCACACTGTTGCAAATGACTTTTTTTGACTCTCAGTCCCTGTGGATGCTGGTGTTGCCACTAGTTTTCACTGCACATGTATGTGAATTTGTTGTTATATTAGCAGTCACTGATTGTGCTCTTCTGTACACTTTTTAAATTTCTTTTTAAAGTGAAATAACAAAAGTGTTGTGAATATAAATTTGAGCAACATATTCCATCCATTATGTGTTTTATCAATAAGAATTTTTACTGTTCTGAGACTGCACTGTAAAGCACATCATTGGAAAGCTTGTTTAATAGTCCAAAGCTATTCAACAGTCCAAAAGAAAAAGTCACTGGGAGCATGTGTGGACATTCCCATTGCACCTGTTGGCAACATCTTAAGGAAACCACATATTTTCATGCATTTGGTTTAAGATGGTGCCAACAGATGCTATATATCTGCCCAGATTGTTTTTTTTCATCTTCAAATCTCATCACTGCACATCTTTTGGAATTTTAAATGTTTGTTTTCCTTCATGCTATTTGGCATATTATCATGTAATATATATATATCTGTACTTTTATCATTATGCTAAATCTCTTAAAAGAGTACCTTTTTCAGAAATGTTCCTTCGATATTATGGCAGGATATGATATGATGATATGACATGATGTTATTATATCCCTTGGGTTCGAAGAAGACATTCTGTCATGCTGTTCATCTGTGGACAGGGAAACAGAGTCCCTGTCTAGAAGCACAGAGTTTAGGGCAATGGGGGCAATGGAAATCCATTGCTGTACTAAGTGTGGATATTATTTTGCTACATTGCTCGCAGTTTTCAGTTTTTGATGGCACCCATAGCTCAAGGCTCATCAGCAGATTCTGTCAGCAGTGCAGCTTTTAATTTCTTGGCTCTATATCACAGTGGTATAGGGTTTCTTTTTCAGTGTCTTTTTAGTGCTTGCATGGTCGACTTCAGTCTCTTCACAGACTCCAGTATACTATGGAACAATTGGCAAGGCATATGGCAGACATGCATTCTGATGACATGTCTCACTCATTTCATCAGGGCTCTGAGAATCAGGGACTACATGCTGGTGGACTCCACACAATCCAAAACCTCCAGGTTGGAGACACAGTCTTGCCAACAAATTCCAAAGATGGAGCAGACAGCATGCATGTGAAAATTTCTTAGATATTTGATGCGCCTTCAGTAGAGTTGAGAACTCACATCCATATAGGAAGGAAGGGATACTCACAGCTCTGTAGATTTTAGCTTTGTTGTGATATGAATGTTGTGTTGATTGATCACTCTCGTATATAGCCATCCCAGTATCTGGTTGGCCTTGCTGATCCTGGAATCAATTTCATTGTCCAAAGACTCATCACTCAAGATGATGCTTACCAAATATTTGAAGCTGTTTACATTTGTCAGCTGGGTGGTGTTAACAGTAATATTCTACAGGCTTAGTATTTTGCACTGGCTGGTAAAGTACTTTTTGTTTTGTTCAAATGACAATAGTTAGTTCAACTGACTGTCAGTTTTGTTCAATCTGATAGTCAGGCTGAAGAGCATACTGTAGCAGCTTCTGAGAATTTGTTCAGCATCAACTATAGATCACTATATTTGTGCACCAGCAGCACACAGTCATCAGCAAGGAAAGTTTCTTGAATGACTGTATGGAGGAACTTTGTTTGCACATTCAAGTGGCAAAGGTTAAGGAGCAAGCCATTCATTTAATACCTGAAATGCTCAGGTCCCTCCAAGACAGTTACTTACCTCATTATTGTGTTTGTCTGATAATAATCCCACTCACTCTGTAATTCTATGGAAAAATGGCAATTTTTTGAAACCTCCTTCAGATTTTATAAATGTAAATGATCTTTCTCCCTATTTTCCTCCAAGATCTATTGACCAGAACAAGATGAACTGGATCAACATTTTGACTGGATTTCTACAGTTAAGTAAGTTGAAATATCTTATCTTTGCTTCTCATTTGTAGGATGGATTCCTTTTTAAACTGCAGAATGTGATGCTAATTTTTGATGCCAGAATCAGTGCAAGTGTTAAAACTAGTGATTGCGTTCAAACATATGTTATGAGTTTATAATTGCACTAACAGTTAAAACAAATCAATCATATTTATTGCCACAGGATTTATTCCTATTTCACTGCAGAAACTGTGTCATCAGAAGATGTGATTGACACATCTGTAGCGGAATTCCACTACAGATGTGTCAATTGCAAGGTTCGTTTTTCTCGCCATGCACATGTATACATAATCTGAACTAGACTGTGTTGTTTCTCTGTGTCATATAATATATGTGGGTATGTGCACAATTCTGTATTTATTTATTTGTTTTTGTCATATTTATGTAGTGTATATTGGAGGTGGTGACCCTTTGAGAGCTATATGCAACAAAATTTCATTTTAATGTATGCCGATCAGTGTACATTCAAAGTGACAATAAAGTTATTAAGTTATCATTCTAATCACATCTTCTGATAACATAGTTTCTGCAGCGGAATAGGAATAAATACTGTGGCAATAAGTATGATTGATTTGTTTTAACTGTTAGTCTGTTAGCTATAACAAGAAATCATATATGATATTATACTGTAATTAAGGGGTGGAATTACACCCCTTAATTACAGGATAATATCATATATGATTTCTTGTTATAGTTAATTTTCTGTATAAATGTATACTCTGGGTTAGATCCAGCTTCTTATTTACCAGCTGGACTTTTTCCAGGACACAATACAATGGTAAAGACATAATTTTGCTATTTTTTTCTACTCCAAGTTTCTCAATTCTCCACAACAGTTTTAAGAGTAGGAGTAATTTTACACTGAGAGTCAGTTTAATGTAGTGGTTAAGATCCCAGGCTAAAACCAGGAGACTATCATTTCTAGTTCCACCCTAGGCACAAAATCAGCAGAGTAACCTTGGGCCAGTCACTCTATCTCAGATCTACAAAGGAGGCAATGGCAAACCTCTTCAAAAAAAGAAAAAAACTTTACCAAGAAAACTGCAGGGACTAGCCCAGGCAGTCACCAGGAGTCAACAGTGACTTGAAGGTACCAAACAAATAAATATATAAAAATTTTACACTGAAGTGGAAGCATGCTATAACAGAATACAGGCAGTCCCCAAGTTAAGAGTGTCCAACTTATGGATAACTCAGACTTACAAGGAAGGAAAATTTCTTCCTCCAGCTGATGAACCACTGAAGCTGCAAATTTTAAATGTACAGCCTGTTTTCAGTGATTCATGAAAGGAAAAACACCATCCACCATTTTTAGTAATAGGCAATCAATTCATATACATAATTTTGAGTTAAGGACAGACTCTTAACCCAGGAATTCCCTGTAAACTCTATTTACGGCAGGCAGGATCTGCATCCTTTAGTATGATACTAAAAGAATGTTAGAATGACACATTAAGCCATTCTGAATAGTTGTTAGGATTACACCAGTTCACATTACTAAAAATGGTTATAGATTTGGTCCACACATTTCAGTTTATTTAAGCCACCAAAGGTAGTTTAAGAATTGCAACAGATAAGACACTGTGTGACAATAAATGCTATTTGGCTATTTGTATATACTTTTGTCTTTTAAGACATTGTTGATATTAAAAATTAAATTGTTGCAATCAAAGTCTATTGATTCATGCAATATATAATGTATATCAATTAATGATATATAAACTCGTGAGTACATCTAAGCTTTCTTTTACTAACAATAGTGATTTAGGTCTTCCTTATTTAAAATATTCAGACTATTCTTTTTTTCCCCCTCTTTAGATTTCTTTCAAGTGGTCATTTCTCATTGCATGGTGTATCAGATTCCTCCACAGAGCTTTGAAATGCCCTGTATACCAGCTAGAATTGCAGAGGATGGTCCCACTTGGCAGGATGTGCATGGTACAGTTGGAGCCAATGCCACTGTATTGGTGGCTGAAGATAATTTCTTATGTTGCCACTGGAGTGATACATATATGAATTGTTTTGCATACACTGCAGAAATGGAAGCCAAAGCATTTATTCCTTCAAGAATTGTTGATTCAACACTTCAGCAGATAGGTGTGCTTGGAAAATGTGCTTTTAATTATTACTGAGATTATTTTAAATTGTTATAGCTGCTGTACAATGAAAATATGAGCACAGAATATAGATAAATCAAATTGTATGTAGTAAAATAGATCATGAATAAAACAGTGACCAAACTAATACAAATTACAATGGCTTTTTTTAAAATAAGATCTTTTTAGCAACAGAATTTTGGCTGATGTTTGAATGGAGTTAAAGTCAGTGTCGGTTGAGAAATGGCCCAGTCTTGCCTTATTGAAGGAATAAATAAATATGCATAATAGTAGTTGATCTCTACGTGAGTGTCCATGAGATGGGGCAGAAGGAGGGGGAATAATAAAATATGTGTCATGAAATCATTTTTGTATTTGCAAAAATGATTTGATATAATTTAATTTTTACATTTATAGGGCCACCAATGAGAGCATGATAAATTATTTTCAAGAGTTCAGGGTTACAAGGATGTTTTTAGTTTTATTTTTAAAAAATGCTTAACTTTCTATTTAGATTTAATTTGGAATCTGCAGTTTTGGACTAATGAAACCACAGAAGAATTGTTTTGCATCGTGAAATTATCTACTAAGTCACCATATTTGAATGAAGACTTTACAGTTAATCTATTGCATGCATTGTAAGTATAATCAAAATCCAAGTTAAAATTTGTGGGGTTTACGAATTACAGGATCTTATTCCACTCTAATATTTTGACTTCTGATAAGAGTAGCTCCAGTTTTATATTTTGCTTTAAGACTTTCTATCAGATTTACTTCATATTAGGTGATGGGGGTGGGGAAATATGTCTTCCTTTAACAAGAAAAAAGTAGAAGAGTGGGGAGAGGAATTTCCAAGCACCAGGTACCAAGTTGAAAGGGAAAAAAGGGCTGACACGGAACACAGAATACTAAAAGCAAAATATAGCTTCTTACCCATGATCTACATTTTAAGAACAGTTTTTAAAAAGTTGATTTAATGCAAGGAAACACTCTTTTCTTTTTCAGAGTGAATGAGACTTGCTGTCTTCAAAATAAATTTAAAGATTTCAGTAATCGTTCAATAAGCAAGCCTATTCTTCCTGTTAAAATATGGTTTTAAATGTTATTGCATTTCAGGGATATTGTCCATGAAACAGTTCTATTTTATAAAATTCTAACACTATATAATTTTACTTAATAGATTAAAATGTAATTATGAAAAGTTTATAGTCCAACCCTAACCCCAGGAGAATGATTCATTTTATTTGGAGATGATATATTACACATATATTGTGTTATGAGATCATAGTATCACGGCATTTAAGAACTCTGGAACCAGACCTATATTCCAAACATGAAAAATAAACTCTTAACATTCCCTCCTCTCTACTCTGTTATTTTTTGGCAGGTGAAAGATATTGTCTATGAAGACACTTCTTCAGCAATATTTCTTCTTAGGCCTTAAAACAGGAACAGCCAATAGGAATAACAATCAATAGTGTAGACTGCTTTATATTGTCATCAGATACTTCTGTTAAAATTGTAGTTGCATTATCATGCAGCTCCTTTGAAATATCTAAAAATGTTATTTTGTGTTCCAAAGTCTTCTCAATAGCAAAATATTTTGTTTACATAGTTCTTAGTTTTACTGAATGGAATACAGAAATACTTATTTTATGTGGTCTGGCCTGAATATTATGTTCCCCCAATGGGAATATGTGTGTTTTCATTAGAAACATTACATCAGAAAGCTTTCTGCTTTAAACTCCACAGGAGGAAAAGGCACATGAATGTATCATTTGTGCATTTTTACAATGTTTATCTTCCAAAATAAGCCCTGGTTGGTTTTAATCATGACCAAGAGTCCAGGCATGCTGAACTCAGAAGACTTATTCTGGAATGTAGAGTTGGCTGTTAAAATATCAAAAATTGAAAACTCACAATACTGGAGAATGCAATATTTGTGGTTTCATTGGCTGCCTTGTTCAGAATGAGAAGAAAGTTCTCTCATTTAAACAGAATGAGCTTCCCTTCCTTGTGCTTCTTCAAACAGATTCTCCAAGGGAACCTGGGAATATATGGCTAACTAGTTGGCCTTAATTTACCTTGTATGTCCTCTATAAGACAAAAGAAACAAGCATAAATATTCAGGAACCAATTATAAGGATTCCCACAGTCATCTATCTATCTATCCAGGGCTTTTTTTCTAAAAAAAAAAAAAAAAAAAAAAGGTGCCGGAACTCACACACATCATACAACCCGCCTTGCCTACCCTACAAGGTTCCATCCAAAAAAGGTGCCGGAACTCCGTTCTGGGCGTTCTATGAGGAAAAAAAGCCATCTATCTATCTATCTATCTATCTATCTATCTATCTATCTATCTATCTATCTATCTATCTATCTATCTATCTATCTATCGATCGATCTATCTATCTATCTATCTATCTATCATCATCATCATCATCATCTTTTTCCTCAGATTTTACAATCATTTTTATTTTTCCCCAAAAATGTTGCTTTTTCCAGATTTCTAAAAGAAATAATTGTTTAATTAATTTTTTTGAAGTGAGATATTAAGAATCACATCTGAATTCTCTTAGAGAATTTAGAGAAAAATAGTAGCCAGTGGAACAATGAACATTTGCAACTAATAGAGCACAAACTTAAATCAGAGTATTTCCCCCCTACACTTTGTTTACCAGAAGTGTGCCCCAAAAATATGAATTTATAACTCGGTTTTTTAGAGTTCCCAATATGACCAATTACACTTTCTCCTTGCATTGACCAGCAATGCATTCTTAATTGTTATGACCTCTATTGTGAATTGGTTTTATGGCATAGTAATTGTGAAGATACTTGAAAAGACAAAATAAAATATCATTGTCATTGAGTATTCATGTGTTCTATTTTTCTTAAAAACTCATTAGAATTATCATAAAATACAAATGAAAATAAAGATAGTATAGAAACAGGAAAGGAAAATGACAGGAAAGAGAAGTGTAAAGTAAAAGGGGAAAGAAAAAAAAGAAAACTTTGATTTCCAAATTCTTTCAGCACAATAAAATATAAAATAGATTTGCAGACTCTTTTTACTTTTACTTTACCAATTAACAAGTACTAGCTATTTCTGTAAGAACAAACTAACTTAATCAACAAAACCCAAAGTCAAGATTTCTTTTTTCTTTTCCTTTTGACTCGAATACACAGTCCAGAAGTGTTTTCCAGGTAGAAACAAAGCTGGATATATTCTTTTCTCTAATTAAAAAGTCAATTTTGCCCTCTCTACTAGCTCTCATCACTTTTTCCAGCTATTCTTCTATTGTGGGGATTGATGTACCTTTTTATTACTGTGCATAAAGAATTCTTGCTGCAATCAACATAAACAAAAATAAAGTTCCAGATCTTTTTTCCAACTCCTTATCCAATAATCCTAAAAGAAGAACTTCAGCTTTCAATTTTATGTTAATTTTAAAGATCTTCTGTACTATAACATGGATCTGTCCCCAATATTTCTTTTCTTCAGCATAGGTCTGCCAAAGATGATACAAAGTACCTTTAAAATTACATTTCTAACATATATTTGAGACACCTTTATACATCTTTGACAATTTATCAGGTGTTAGATACATTATTTTGTAACAAATTCAGTGTAAATTTTAAACCATTTGTCCACATTTTCCCATTACTCAGGCATTATATTATAACCAAAGTTCCTGCCCGCTGAATCATACACCGTTTCACATATTCATTTTCCAGATTCAATTGCAACAACACTGGCAATAACATGATCATCTTTAGCACACAATGTGTTCTATTTCTCCAGATTGTTTTTGGCTTCTTCACTGCAGTATTTTTTTATGTTCTAATGTAACTAATGTCTTATGTGAGGTATACTTGTAGACTCTCTTTGGTTATGGATTGCCTTCATGGTCTAATTTTTCCCTAGTTATTGAAGGGTGGAAATAATAACTTGCAGTATCACAAACCTTCGTTCCAATTTAGTGCAAAAAAAAGGTTCAATTACCAATGTTAAATTAGTGATATTTGATACTGAGAATGTGGAACATCCATGAATCCAGATTTGGCACTTCTTAGCTATATTATAAATTAGGGCCCTATATCGTATAGGCTGTAGCTTCATTTGAATGACACAGATGCTTTACCCATAGTTTAGCTGTGAAGTTTCCTGGAAGTCAGTTCCAGGTGTTCCATTGCTAATCAGAAAGGGAAGATATGGGCTTTGATTGTGTTATGGCTTGCCACTTTGCTGGGACATAGAAGAAATATTTACTTTCTTTGAAATGTTAGGAAGTAATACTGATGTGCTTTACATGTTTTCATGCAGTATTTGCTGTCTCAGAATATTGGCAGTAGAATGCAAAATACAGACTGCAGAATTTATAAGCTTGGAAGGACTAGATAATATCCACAAAAGGATATTATCTATTGTTCAAGCCCCAAATCCTTCAGATGCTTTTAACTTTAGGAAGATTATTCTGGGTCATTTATCTTACTCTTCCTCCATGTACTTCTATCAAACCATTACTGTGGAAAAAAATCTCTCATTTAGCATAGATTGCATTGCAGAAATTTGTTTTTGCTTTTGAATTGATCTTAATTTATTAAATACAGCTTGGTGTGCTAAAACTTTGAATCCAAATTCAGAGGTAGAAGAAGCTCTCATTTTGTGAAAGGTGCCACCTCTCTCCTTCAGAAAGGGAGAAAGGAAATGAGAAGAAAATGGGTGATTGTTATGAACTACACCATTTGAGCAACCCTATCTAAAGTTTGATTGTCCTTAGATTAAAAAGAGTAGAACAGTGGGGTTCTTAGTGCTCTCTGGGCCTGAATGTTTTCTTGCAGACATTTCATTACCAAACTAGGTAATATCATCATATCAACCATAGTTTGGCAATTAAATGTCTGCAAGAAAACAACCAGATTCAGAGAGCACCAAGGACCCCACAGTTCTACCCTGAGCTACAAACAATTTTTTTTATCAAGAATAGAACTATTGTCTAAAAACTAAAAGAAGATAGTAAACACAGGGATCATTCGTGCTGACAATTTTCCTACACAGTATTCTTAAAAATTATTTGTTAAATTATTCATTGTTGCAGGCAAGGAAATGATCAACTGCCCTGGTCTTGCCCTGTTGCTAAACTCACTCACTGCTTTAATTTATNGTGTATGCTTAGTTTATTACTTTGACAATCTGCCACAAGGGCTGAGGTGTTTTGTTAGTTACTGCTTCTGTTCACACTGACGTTGTTGCCAAGGGCTAATTTGGTCTTTTTGTACACTTCATCTAACATCTTCCATTTTGGATGTCACAAGTTAATATATATTCAAAAAGATGTTTGCTTCATCTGAGCAGTTTCCTAGTTTGTGGGGGAAAAATAGATAAAAAACAAAATTATTTAGAGAGGTCAGCCAAAGAAGATATTTTGAACTGAATTTTTTAGAGGAAGGAAAACAAAATAGTATACTGTCAAATAAAAAAAACCCTCAGACTTTCCATAATTTAGTCCAAATAACAGACTCAGAAGAATTTGAATTCTTTTTTTTTTGGTCAATATTTTTTTTATTTTATTCAGAACATTAAAATACAAACTCCCCAAAAGAAAGAAAATACAAAAACAAAGCAAAACTAGACAAGATAAAAAAATAGATGTGCATAAAAAAATCATACACATAGATGTCATACACATTGATTCAAAAGAGTTTGAAATGCAAAAAGCATATTATATAATTACTTAATAAATTAGAGTGTTAGTTTTAACACCATGAAGATAACATAAGAGTATTTGTGAGTTATTAATTTTGACATTTTAATGCTAATTTTATATTTCGATGAATATAATTTTGAAGAAACAGCTGAAAAGAGGCATAGGCTTTTAAAGAGCAACAGATACAATTTTATATTTCTCTTTGCAAGCTTTTTTCCTTGCCTTGTGCATATGCTATTGACATTAGTTCTGTTGGTATTATGTCTGTACAGACTAAAAAAAGTAAAATTCAGATTATAAAATCAAGAAAAGTATACCTTTTCATTCTGAAAAGATTTCAACAGCATTCCAAGGTAAATGGATCTAATGTTATAACAAAATATTATACAAAGGCAACTGGGTTTTTTTAGCTCCTTCCATTTATTTCTTCCATTTTTTACCCTTTTCCAAGAATTCGTTTTCCAAACAGTATAAATATGTTTGATATTTATTAACTTACTTACATTTTAAAAAAACAAGATTGTAATGTAAGTGATTCTACTTGCTCCAGAAGAATGATTTTATGGTTTCAAAACAGTCTTTAAAAAGTGTTTCACTCACTGAAGATTTGGTTCTTCAATAAAATGAACAATAATTTTAAAGCATTAAGCAGAAACTTTTTTTGCAGAAAAATATTTTCTCCTTCCCTATAGGATTTTTTTTAACATTCTATAAAATGTTCAGTTTTCAAACTGGCTACATAATCGGGGAGCTCACCCAGAAAATTCAACCATATGAAATTGTCCTTTAATAAACAATAATATTTTGCAGGAATTTCTGTTTGCCCAAATAAGTGCCACACAGTCAACAGAGGTGCTAATTCTTGGATTCTTTTGAGCCTTTCTGCACAAGTGGGCAATAGCAGTATTGGACTATTTCGTAAACTCCGCATTTAGACAACAACCACATTATGTCACCCTCAAACCATGCCTGCTGTGCTGTATAGTTGAGGTTTCTGTCTTCTTACTTTGTGTCTTATGGTTTTTCCTGGTAAAGCAATTCAACTTCTGGTCATCGCCACATTCTTTTCCCTTTGTTAAATGGGAACATTTAAAAATCGGATGTAAAACACTGAAGCAGATTCGGAGTTAGGTTTCCTCTCCCCCAGTCAAGTTTTATAATTACAGAGAGCTTGCCTTAGATGGTTGGTGGGAGTTTTAATGGGGAGAAGAAGCCACTAGGTTTTTTTCCCCTCCTATGGAGTGGCACTCTATTTCCTTTCTTGTTTTGCAAATCTTTTCCAAAAAGAATAGCTGGCCTGCAAGCAAGCATATTTATCACTTATAGCAGTGGTGGCGAACCTATGGCATACATGCCAGAAGCAGCACTCAGAACCCTCTCCGTAGGCACATGAGCCATTGCCCCAGCCCCACTTCCCCCTGCGGCCCCCTCCTCACCAGCAGCCCCCCCCCCGCAGGAGAGTCACCCCCGGGTGTGTCCCGCACGGAGCAGTGTAGCCAAGGATATGGCAGCCAGGCAGTGGGGACAAGACTCCACCTTCACGCTCCATTGTGCGCAGATGATGCTGCGGGGCGCGGGCGGAGGGCATGGTTGCCATGGCACTGCTGGGCCATCTGGGTGATCTGCGGCAGGCCGTGGAGGTGGTGGGTAGCCCTGCGGGTGGGCGGGCGGGGCAGGGGCAGGGCAGGGAGCGGGGTGGTTCTTGGGCACTTGGTCTCTAAAAGTTTCGCCACCACTGACTTATAGGACAAGACAGGGAGTTCCATGGACTGATCGGTTTGGGGCCAGTGAAGATTTCACATTATGAACATTTTCCTCTATTTTAAATAAAAAAGATAAAATGGATAAAAATGGGATAGTTGCAATAGTATAGACACATTATCACCCAAATGTTTACTCTTCCATCTGCCATGGGAATGTCTTGATAGTGCTTATAGATATTGATGTAGAAATGTATTTTAATAATATAATTGGAATGGATTGTTATAATTATATAAAATGGCTACACATATTTATCATGCTTTGCATAAGTAAAAGTGCTTTGTGGCATTTATAACACAGTTTTTTTCATTTCTTACATGCATAACAAAAATAATGCAAGCAATTTACAGAATTTCTAATAAAATCCTCTGAGTAATCTAGTAAAAAAAATAGCAAGAAAATGACTAGTTTTATTTTCTTTTCAGAACAGATGCATCACTGGAAAATTCTTCTACAAATTCACTAAAGGAAAATTCTACAGTCACTCACTGTAATACTCTAAAATCCCAAAAATATGAATGTCAGATATCTTCAGTAAAACTGAATCATATTTACATTATGTGGCTCAAGATCACTAATGGTAATATATTACTGCAGTCACCACTGATGTCAGTCAAACCTATAGATGTTGGTAAGTTTTGATTTATTAGCAAAAACATAAAGCATACTTGCCAAGCTCTGTTAGACTGAGCCAGAATTATTCTTGAAACTCCATAATAATGAAGACAAACTTGGTCTGCACTATGGTTAAGTTAAACTTATTTTAAAGAGGAAATTATCTCAGAACTGTGAAGTAATGGGAAAAGCAACATAGAATTAAATGTTTATGTTAAAATCTTTTTTTTGCATCCCGGCAACAGTCATTCTGTTTAATGATACTAGTCCTGAATGAATTCCCTAAAATGTTGACTTAATATTATTAGTTATAAATCTAGCATTCATTGAATATTGTGATTTGTAATTTGGCATTTGATTATTCAGACTTAATATGAGTAAATTATATTATTTAATTATTATTTAATTATTTAAATTCATAGTATATTATAAATAAAATTATATTCAAGGAATAATATATTATTTTTCATAATCCACACTGTGGCACAAAACACTCAAACGAGTATGAAGGTTTGACAAGTCAAAGATACAAATCCTTTCTAATAAAATAATAGATTTTCTACTATTTCTCTTATTGGTATCGTATGATTATATTACTTTGTTGTTTGCATGTACACTGAGAGCTTATGCACCGGAGACAAATTCCTTGTGTGTCCCATTACCCTTGGCCAATAAAGAATTCTATTCTATTCTATGACACTCTTAGTTATACTGGAATTACAGGTCCCAGAACTGCTTGCTAACAATTGTGGGAATTTTCAACATATCTTGATGGAATAAAGATGGGGAAGTTGATCTGGGTTCTTATGAAAAAAAACTTTCATGTTTTTAAACATACAATTTCACTTTGTAATGCTTTATTCCAAGTATGAACAGTAAAAATAGGAAAAAAAATTGAGGGGATGCCAACCATCTGAAGGGTTGCATTTTAGTAGCTGTATTAGTACAATTTGGTTTTTTTTAAATTTTACTTTTATATAATTAAATCAGAGTTTTATATAATCAGATGATGGTTGCATTTAATCTTTTGATACTTTCTGGCTTAATAAGTTAGCTGCTTCTAAATTACTCATTGAATTATTTTGTATTTTATTATAATTAAAAAATTGATAGACAATTTTTCTTTATTATATTAGTTCGGTAAATTAATATAAATCTTTTAGAATAAGTGTTTTATATTAATTATAATATAAGTTAATGTTTTCGAAACATGATGGAATTACAGAAATTGCACAATGTTTTTGTAAATCATGTTATTCAGTGGTCAGATATTTTAAAACTTGTAGTTAGCAGAATTAAAATAGCATTTGGTATAATTCAGTTACTTCACTTCAAATGATGCAAGGTCTGCATATATTTTTAAAAATATGGATTAAGATAACTTTATACAAAAGTCAGCAATACTTTGTTCTGGAATGGAATGGCGAAAGTGAGCTTTGTGATGTTAACTTCCACTTTTAAACTTACTCTTCCAAGGCACAGACTTTCTAGTGGTAATTAGTTTTTAAAAATGAGTCACATGAAGTATGATCTTTTATTTAATAAAAGTTGTAGCTTTGCCCTTGTGCACACTTTCTCAAGCAGCAGCCCCAGGAATATTCATAATATAAATCACTATGTGCTGAATTGCTGGGAATGCAATCTTGTATATATTCATAAGACTAAGTAATAATTGTTAGCAAAACTTTACATATGATCTACTGTAAGCTTCATTTAGTGCAAATATCGATTTTATTGCCTTTTTAGATTTTAATCATACTTGCTAGTTTATTGATATATTGTATTTTTTTAAAAAACAAGTTTTATTGGTTTTCAAGTTTTACATTGAGTATTCGGAAAGCAGCGTGGTGACTGGGTAATCAGTGGTTCAGTAACAAAATCTTTAGTACATATCTCAGGTTACATCACCAAAAATTCCTTCTCTATTTCCCTTAACATTTGTTACATCACATTTAGGCTAATAGATTTTTAATTATAACAAAGTTAATTAAAACCTTTATCAATATATTTTTTGCTTATACATATCCATATCCTGTTTTTAAGTTTTACCTAGTTTTTAGTTTTTTATTACAATATTCCAATTTAACCTTTAATATCCATAGTGTTTGAGTTTCGGGTAATCCAAATTTCCTTTATTTCACTGCATAAAAGTTATCATATCTAGAATATACATATTACTTACTTAAATATATTCTTATCTTATTTCATAAACATTTTCTATTTCTAATCCTAATACATCATCACTTACTAATAGAATGTCTTTTATTGTCTCAAGTCCATCATCTATATTATCTGGGCTAAACAATAGTTCGAAGCTAATTCCTAATTGTTAATTTTCATTTCCCTTATACGTCTAAATCCTAAATATTAAGCCAGGTAATCCCTTATTTTTTATCATTTAACAGGAATATTTAAATCCAATAATCATATTTTCCTTCATCTAAAAATCTCTCTTTAGCCCATTATTTGAGACTTTAGGATATATCATAAATCAAAAAATCCCATTTTTTTTTCAATCTAACTCTGGCTTTCTTTTTGTGCCAATCAGGCTTCCATACCAATGCCTTTAAATCATCAAACAGATCTCCCTTCATTCTTGCACATATTGCTTGAACCAAGGAAGACCATCTAGTTATCAATTTTCCAAAAAGGCTGGCCCATTCATAGTCATTTATTTGTATTATTCATCTTTTTTAAAAAAAGATAAATACCAAATTTTGCTCTTTTTTCACCAAAGCTGTTGCCTGGTATGGGATATTTTCCTTCCAAGCTTGGATATACTAAATAATATGAGAATTTTAATTATTACTTTGTTTCTTTTGGATTCTGAACAAACTCCAGCCACAACTGCTTCAGACCACAACCACAATTTCGCCAAAGCATTTATGCATACTGTATGTTGAAATTGTTTTAATTAATTGGAACATGAGGCAATAGGTTACTCTTTCTTGCTTAAGGTGAAATTGATTGAAAAAAGTGCTCTAGTTATTAACTGGGATATTTAAAAATATTTGAACCTATGTATATAAAAATATTTGCATACACATATAGAGATGATCAAATTAAAACAAAAAAATTAGCAAGCTTAAAATATTACTGGAAATCATCGTGTTTAAGGCATATTGTTTATCATGCTATTTTGCAGTAAAACCTGACCCTCCATTATATCTGCAAGTTGAAATGACAGATACAGGACAGTTAAAAATCTCTTGGTCTCAGCCAGCATCTAAATCCAACTTATTTCTATATGAAGTAAAATGTTTTACAAACTCAACTAAAAGTTTTCAACAGGTGAGACAAACTTCTTATTCTAAGCCTCTTATAAAATAGATTTAAGAGTCGCTGTAAATTTGGCAATCTTAATTTAAGATTAAACAGTCTAAATTTCTGAGAAACTGAAAAATGAACTATGCAATAAAAATGGTATTCAGTACATGTAGAATAATCCAAAGTTTTCTTGTAACTACGAGTTTACATTTGGGAGCAGCAAGATAGAATAATGAAGAAATACATGTTGTCAGATCAATACAAAAACCACATGTTTTAGGTATTTGTAGCCAGTCTTCCATTATGTTTTCATTATAATGGTTTGTACTGGACACCTATGCATTGAAATGATTAAAATCAACAGATTTTCAGTGCTTGTATTGTGAACTAATGAGATATGCTTCACTTTCATTGGATTATATCTCATTAGCTTACAATACAAGCACTAAAACATATTTTTAAGTGAGATGCAGTGGGATCACCATCTATTCTCCCAATTGCACATGAACAAACAAAAAATACTACTCCCTAAATGTACTTTAAATTTGCTTGAGGTTTGGCATGGAATTGTCTAGGAAGCAAGTTCTATGTGCATATGTGAAAGGTTGCACAATCCTCTTTATTTTCATTTTGAATTACTGAATGCATTTTCTATGAACCAAATTGGAAGGGGACAATTTCCTCATGGAGTGCACGTATGTAACCTTTGCATTCTGGACACATAAACTTTATATAACATCATGTGTTAAAACCAAGAAATAAACCCTCTTTTGTTTTTTATTAGCTTCATTTTATCAACTCTGATTTGGTTTTTTAAGTTAATTCAGTGAAAGAACTGCATTATTCTTATTATATTATTTTTAAAAAATAATTTCATAGGTGGCTAAAATTACCATGGGAACATCACTGACCATAAATAATGAATTACTCGAATCTTCATATATAATTCAAATTCGGTGCAAGAACCATCAGGAATTAGGTCTTTGGAGTGATTGGAGCTCACCTTTTAACATGGATCTACAAGGTACATTCACGTAAAATGTTATTAATCCAGGATATAAAATATTAAATCATTTTATTTGATCCGCATCATGGCCCATGGCTAATTAAAAATTGTTTATTTTGTACAATATATGTAATTTATCCTAATCTAAAGATCTTGAGTGGCATACAAGATATTACACATAACAGTTTCCAAATGTATCAAACACCTCCTGAATAGATACACACAATAATGAATTAAAGATAAAGGAATGGTGGACTAATGGCTGTTTTTGTCACTTTATAGAATGATTGAAAGGAGGGAGTTAAAATGTACCTCTGGAATCAATGAATTCTAAAGTTTGGGGCACTGTCTTTCATAGTTGAGTAGGAGCATATTACGTAATTCAGGGGTGTCCACCTGTGGTTCATGGCCCCGGATAGCTAGCAACATGACCCCACAAAATTGTAACCTTTAACATTATTATGTGATTTTATATACATCAACTATATTATATATTTTATATGTGCCCCAAGATAATTCCTCTTCATTCAATGTGGGCCAGGTAAGCCAAAAGCTTGGACACTCATGATCTAATCCAAGGAATTTTCTTGTGTTGAAATTTGAAACTTGATTAATGAGAAAAGAATTACAAAGTATATTACAAAGTAATATAAAATAACTAAGTAAATGTGTGGTTAAAAATCCCTACATTTGTGGTTATTTTTATAAAGAATAATGTTACAAAATTATTTAAAATATAATGTTTGTTTCTTTTGTTTGTAATAGATGTCATGTATTTCCCTTCCAAACTCCTAGCAAGTGTTGGAACAAACGTTTCTTTTTATTGTATTTATAAAACCAAAAACAAAATGATCTCATCAAAGAAGATAGTGTGGTGGTTGAATTTAGCAAAAGAAATCCCAAGTAGTCAGTATACTTTTGTGAATGACTACACTAGCAAAATTACACTTACCAACTTGCCTGCAATGAAGCCTGGAGGAAAATTTCTTTTTAACGCTTTATACTGTTGTAATGAAAATAAGGAATGTAATCATCGTTATGCTGAACTATACATAATAGGTAATATATCAGATTGTTTCTACAATTATAAATATTGATGAACCCTTATTCTTTGCATATTCACTAATGCTGTCTTTCAAATAGATGCTAATATCAATATCACATGTGAAACTTATGGCAACTTACAAAAAATGACCTGTTCCTGGTCCATCAAACCAGATCCAATACTTTTGGAGAGTACTTTGCTGTTAAAATACTACAGGTATATGTTCATTTTAATATATTTTTGAAAAGCTATTTCTTTCAGAGCTCAAGTTAGTACAGGGTTGAGGAAAATCCTATACTGTACAGTGATACGGAACTTTTAATTAAAAGAAAGGTTGGATGTGACTTAAGTGGGAAAATTGAATTCTCTGCTCTTTAAATTAGCTTTTTCAAATCTGATAGTCTCAGAGGTGAGTGCAACTTTCAAAATTTCAGAGAGCATGGCTAAACATAATTTAGATAGTCTGGAAATTGCAGCATCATTAATTCTAATGGGAGCTTGGGCTAGAAATTGTAACTTTGACAGGCAACCTTTATGATATTTCCTCATCACTTACCATATTAGAGCTTAATAGCAGTTTTGAGACCAAATATCTGATGCACACTGTTAAGGTCCCAAATTTTGGTTTTTAAACAGCAGAAGTAGAGATATTTTGTGACCCTTTCGATTTTGAAATTTAGCTCTATAAATACCAATGTGCCTTATAAACTTTATTCATGATACTGCTTCTTGCATTATGGTCATAATTCTTGTTGTAATAGTGCTGATTTTGTTGACTTTCTAGAGATGAAATACATTAAAAAGTATTCATTGTAATAAATTATTAAATATATTTAGCTGTATTGGAACCATCCATTGCTGAGATGTTCTTCCTATCAAGATAATTCACTATAATTTGGGGATATGTCCCGGTAGTTTCCATGTAATCAAAGATGTGTTTTGCCATTACTTCCTGCAGTATTTTTTTAAATATACCAATCTCGTAGTACCACTGATAGTCCATGTAGGTCAAACCAGGTCCAGTCTTGCATAGGTATTCAATGAACAACAGTTGAACTAGGTGCCTCCATGTGCTGAGACAGTACTTTTGTTAGGGCCAACCAAAATGCACAAATAAATGTGCTAATATATTGAGTTCTTCAGAAATTTTCATCAAGATATTATACAATTATTACAAGCTTCATATTGACTTCTTGCTCAGATAGTGATCAACTGTGCTTAATCTTATGCAACTCATCCCTCTACCCAGTTGCAGTCCTTTCTCTTCCTTTGGAATCACTTATTGGTTCTAGCGGAAATGGTGTATAGCCAAGTTGTATGTAATGGATATGGCTTTGTAAACTTTAGAAAGTTCTCTACAGGTCTTTGCGCAAATATATAACATGTGTGTAAATGTAATGTATAGATGACAGTTTAAAGAACTATCACTTTTTAAAGTAACCAGTTTACCAGTTTTGATAACCAGTTTGATTGTCTGGGGTATGAATTAAACTCCCAGATTTTGTGTTACTTGCAGGTTTGATAACCCCAGCTTTATTAATTCAACCAGGTCATGAAGATGGTTTGCCCAGACTATTCTTTGAGCTTAGGTTATTTAATCTGAGTTTTCTAGGGGAATTTAAGCGTATTAAAGATTATAACATAGTACCCAATGTTCTTGAATCCTCAAGTGTTCCTTTTATACAACAAAATCTGTCCTTTCTGAAAAATAGGTTTTATTTGTACTTATTTATTATGAAATTCATTTATTTTTTTAATGTTTTTATGTTGTAAGCCATCGGGGGTCATTGAACACAAGATGGGTGGCAAATAAATCTCATAATAAATAAATAAAAATAAATAAATAATCATTCTCTCTATCATCATCATCAAATGATCAGGACTGACCCCTGTGTCTTCATTCTTCATGCTAATGTGAATCAATCCAGTGGTGCTACCTCATCTGCTACCTTTTAGCTCTAACCAGCACTTGCTGACCAGAGTTTCTGGATAGTGTGTTTTGGAACAGCTAAACTGGTGGTCAATCACGGACTGACACTTTAACAAATAAGTAATATAACATGGTGACCAGAAGCATCCACAGGATCTAGAGCTTTCCTGAAAATGCTGAAAGCTGCTTTCATAATTTGCCTTCCCTTCCCGTTGGACATTTCTGGCAGTAACTAAGGTGTTGCAGATTCAAATCTGGCTTAACTGTGAAGACCTCTGAACTATGTTTGTCTTATTCACTGTCTCACAGCCTAATATAGTCATAGTTTTATTGTTAAGCTGCAAATACAGTTCTGAGCATCTTAGAGGAAAAACTGAGTTTCATTTTAAATCAATAAATTTAGTCTGATGTCTTTTGCCAGGGAAAGGAGTACGTAGTATATTTGGCTTAAGGCTCCTTGGCGCAGTATTGAGGCAGCATTGGATATTAGCTTTTGCAAAGTGTTGTTCAAATCACCTTCCTTTCCTCAACCTCTGTTTCCCATTCTCAAAATGAGATTAATATTGACCTGTTTCTTAGAGTCATTGTGAAGATGAACAAGAATAAGATTTACAAAGTTCCTTGTGTACTAGAAATGATCTCTGTCTCTGTCTCTCTTTTCTACTGCTACATGGCACATACCCCTTAGTAATCTTTGTTCATGTGTTCACTTTCACATAGACAAATTATGTCACCAGTCAGTGCTATAGAATCAATAATTCAATTTCCCACTCCTCCACCCCCAAACTGTGCAAAAGAAGGACAAAACAAGAATGAAAGTAAACATATTATGTACCTGTCACTTTTAGTTTTTCACCAACGCAGAGAGAATCTAGATTGATAATGGCAATTCCTTTCTTTAGTGTGGCATCTTGTAGAAACATTTATTCGTTTCCTCACAGATGCTATTCATTGTCAATATCAGAATTGCCACTGATTTTAGTAGACTTTACATCAAACCATGAGGCTTATTTTTTTCTGGTGAATTGCCAAAACATAAATATAAAACTGAATGACCTACCTATTTTCAAAAAGACTCCAATCTATGGCTTGGTTAAAGAGGCAATATCTTTCATGACTAATAATAACAATCAAGTAATCAATCATGAGTACACCAGCTGTGTGTACTCAGATTCTGGTAAGATGACACATGCCAAATGTCTTCCAGTACTTCACATAATTGACTTCCCATCTGACTGAAATGGCAGTATGGACAAACTCAGCCTAAAATGTAATGATGAGGCCAATAGCCTGAGACATTGTAGCAAAATGGGTATAGATAGAATGAGCTTCAGGCTTGTTCATTAATTAGACTTGATTCAATGGTCATCTAAATGATCTAAAATGAGAAATTCTGAGATGCAAATAGGTTTTCCAGGCATTTGCCTAAGGATGTTGTTTACATCTTAATATACTATAAGATATAGCTTTATTTCAGGGAGATATGCTGAAATCTGGTTTAATGACATATAAATTTGTCAAATTAATGAATACATAAATAAAATAGCTCATTTTTAGCTGAGTAAGCTGAAATAGTTAAGCACAAATTTTGTAATTAAAAATTAAAAAAACGCAGATTATGTGAAGACTACTTTATCATTTGCATTCTTTTTATGAAGTTATATTAAAGTAATTATGTGATTTCAAATGCTAGGTTTACATAACTGCATTATTTTCTTGTTTTAAGAAATGATATATACTGTTCAGAATCTCCTAGCATGCATTCAGATTCAGAGGTGAAAGAATGCAATTTGCTGAGGAATAATGTCTATGAGTGCATCTTTCAACCCTTTTACCTTCTGTCTGGATATACTATGTGGATAGAGATTAAGCACTCACTGGGAACAATTACTTCAAGGCCAGTATGTATCCTTCCAAAAGAAGTAGGTAAGTGAAAGGGATTTCTAACAATGGGTTATGGTCTAAATTGATTTGAAGATATCATGGGTCGTTGTCTTCTTCTTTTTTTTTAATGAAGATTAGTGTTATCTTCACACTACAAGCACCAACCAGAAGGGAGGATAGGGGAAGGGAAGAGTGACATAAATGGGGTTGTGATGTCACGTCATAACTGCTCCTTTTTGGGGGGGTGCTTCCAAGTCCCAGTTGGCTTTGGCTTGTGCCTGCACAAGTCCCAGTAGTATTCTTGTCAAGGCTTTCAGAAGTGGTTTGCCATTGCCTACTTCTTAGGGCTGAGAGAGCATGACAAGCCCAAGGGTCATCCAGCTGTCTTTGTGCTTTCTGTCACCCAGTTTCTATCCTGATGTCTTAACCACTACACCAAACTGACTTTCTCCTGATAAAGCCCTACCTTATCTACTATAACATACCATATCCCAAAGAGGCAGAGCCTGAGGTTTGACTTTGAGATGATGGCTGCTATTATTGAATCTGCGTGTTATACTATACATGTTCAGATGCAACTCTCTAGGGGCTTGCAGCAAATTTCATTTCCAAGGAGAGACAGTTTGCAAAACAGCTTTTTAAATGTATAAATGAAACGGAAATAAAAACTCTAGGTTTTTGCCTCCCTTTTAAGATATATGTAATACAGCTAATGCAAGCCACAATATAACATTCCTTTTAAGATGTATCCTGCATTTCAATCTGTAATTACAAAAATGTAATTGCTGCTTCTTACATATATGCTATTGGGTTGAATTTTTTTTTTCTATTTTTTTTTTCATATTCCGCCACCAAAAAATTCCTTTCAATTGGCAATTTTAATTATTCAGTCAGTAATGGTAAGCCTGTGTGGGAGATAAAGATAGCTGTTTTTATTAAAACTGAAAGAAAATTAAATGCATATGAAATTATAATAATTATCATGCCTTGCAATAAACATTTAAAATAAGTTTTCATTTCTAACATGCCTTTATTATATTTCCATGTTGATAGATAGGAAGGTGATGTATAGAACAGATTTTTCTGTGTTCTAGAATCACATTGCAGGATTCAATAACAAGATCGTAAGGCCTTATATGGTCATTTAAAGATTCGTTTTGAAGATTCAGTTCTGTTGCAGCTACAGATAAGGCAAAGGCTGCAGTGTTTGTTGTTTGCTCCTTCCACCTTTAAAGCAACACAGGAAAGATGCCTCATTTAACATCAAACAAGAGGTGTGAATACAGGAGTAGTTAACTTCTCATTGTTCCCAGCCTCACCTGCCTACAGTCCATTGTTCTGAGCATTTTCCTTCTTACAGATCTTCAGTATTGTGCATGAGTCAGCCTGCTGGGAAGGTGGTGAAGAATGAGAAAATGGGACAATGACGTATTATAAGGGGAAAAAAATAATACATTTTTACTTTATAAATCCACCCCATTGCCCTCAACAGGCCTGAGATTACGGTTACTTTCTAGCATTGCTGAAGATCAGCAACCATTGCTGTGATTTCCTGAGCAGTTTGAACCAATCATCTTTACTGAACAGGTTAAACGTGTTGCATTTCAAAAAACCACAAAAAAGAATTGGCTTCCTTATTAAATTATTATAAAATTTACTTAAAATGAATTTGAAAACAAAATGATTTCTAATTAGATCTTGCATCTGCATCATGTGTTAATAGTTTGGTAACTGCTCTTCTTTATATATTACCAGGGCTTTTTTTGTCATAGAACGCCCACAACGGAGTTCCGGGACCTTTTTTGGAAGGAACCTTGTAGGGTAGGCAAGGCAGGTTGTATGACGTGTGTGAGTTCCGGCATTTTTTTTTTAACAAAAAAGGCACTGTATATTATTGTGCAGTGCCTCACTGCTAATCTTGGAAGTATAAAATCAGAAATCTAATTCCATAAAATCTCTAGAATTGGGCAATCTTTATAATTTTTAGACGGCCGTCTTTACCAGATTGTTGAAAACTTTGGAGGAGCAATGCTTTCCTCCGTATTTCAGGACAGGTTTAACACAGTAGTCATGAGTTGATTCTAGATTGGGAAAGAAAGAATCCCAGATGAAGTTTTTCATGAGAAGGAACTTTTTCTTTTTTTAAGGCAACAGGTTACTACTGCAATTGCTTTACAATTAAAGTATGATAAAGACACAGTTTTATAAATTGCCGGATACCATTGCTTTAGTGAAATGCAATAGGGAAGAACCAATGCATATGTATCCAATGGAGATATTCAGTAAGTCAGACAAATTTCTTTTGTTTACCTTTCTAGTGAAGCCATTCTCTCCCTTCAGTGTCAAAGCTGAAATCACAGAGGACACTGGGCAACTAAAAGTGAGTTGGAATAACCCCGAACTTCCAAAGAATGACCTTCAGTTTCAAATTCGATATGTGGCTAGTGGAGAAGACATTAACTGGAAGGTATGTTCTGATTTAATGTAAACTAACTAATGCTTGAGTGAGGATTCTTCTGTTAGTTTTATTCGTGTCCGGTTCATCGTGGGAGGAAAAAGAACAATTTTGATGTGTTTCTTTTCTCCAGACTATCCAGTCTTAGCTTTAGCCTCTCAGAAATTATTGTATTATTATTTGTTAGGTTTCTTTGCTTTTTTTTATAGATTCAGGAAGTTTCTAATGTATCAGTTACCTCTGTGAGTATTGCTATACAAGATCCCTGTATAGTTTACATTGTTCAGGTGCGCTGCAGTATGATTGAAGGAATTGGCTATTGGAGTGATTGGAGTAGATCTGCTTATACAGTTATTAAAGATATCAAAGGTCAGTATATTACCTACATGCTTTTGGCTACTTTCATTTAGAACAAGCTGTATATAAACAATTTGAAATATACATTATTTTTCCAGCACCTTTGAGAGGACCAGAATTCTGGAGAGTTATTAATGAAGATCCCACTACAAACCAGAAAAATGTCACTTTGCTTTGGAAGGTACTTCTGAGAAGAATAATAAGATGCTCAACATCTATTTTTTTTGTAATGCTCTATTAGTCCTTACAGTTAGATATATGGAACTAGCTAAACCCGCAATCCCTTTACTGTTAATGTTGGTAGGATAATAGTCAATTTGGCTTTCTCTTTCAATTAGTTAAAAATATGAAGAAGACATTTTATACATTGTCACGATTTACACAATTCTTAACATACATTAATCAAGAACCCTTTTTTAAATAGAAAAGGGGAAGGTTTTTTTAAAAATTTAAAGTTCCACAATGTAACCACTTTTAAAAATGTAATTGTTACTGTTTACATGCAACCTTCAGAAGTGTATCTTTTTTTCAGGACTATTTTCTGATTAAGCTTTGATTCAGGAAAAATAAACCCTAGTAGTTTAATGCTGTAAGTTGCCTGGGAATAGAATTTTTAAATTTGTTTTCAAAGGAATTAAAGGTAGATTTTTTTTTTGCATTTCTACTTGTGATAGGCATAATGCAGGTTTCAGGGATACATGATCCAAACAAATTTATTATTATTAAAATCAGCAAATGTTTAGCATGGTTCTTTAGATTCCTACAACTTTTTAAAAAGTTGAACAGGTACAACTGTACTTGCAATGTCAACAGTTAATGAAAATAAAACCTAAAGCCAAATAGTTCTTCCTTCTCCTTGCAATATTCTACATGGTTTCAAAATTTGCTCCAAAGGATTCCCAGGCCTAAAGATTAAATCCTGAAGACACAAGGGCTGTCGCATGGAGAAGGAGAAAAAATTTTCTTCTACGAGCAGAAGTTCTGTTCCCATGCCACTGGATTCTACCCAATGCCTTAAACCAAAACAGTCTGTCTGTCTAAACTAACAAGTGTTTCCAATCAGAATTCTTAGAAATATGGAACCAGCACAGTTAGTTTACTAAACTAGAAATCCATCTAATTGCTTTCACACTTTAAAAACCTCCAGGGCACTTTGGAAAAATCATTTTAAAATTCTTGATTTCTCAGCAAATTAGTTTAATTTCTGACCTAATTGGCTACATAAGACTGGGAAAGTTAATATTCGTAGGAAAAAAAATGATTATAAAATGAATCAAATATCTTCTCCTGTATTATTTTTTTTTAAAAATCTAAACTTTAGTTTCAGCTACAATACAAAATATCTAATATATATGTAATTTTTTACAGCCACTGATGAAGAATCTATCTTTGTGTAGTGTTCTAGACTATGTAGTAGAGCATAATACCTCAGAAAACATTGCTTGGTCTGACTATATAGAAAATGACACTACTTACACCTTTTCATGGTCCGAAGATATACATTCTGTTAAAATTCTAGCTATCAACTCAATTGGACCTTCCTCTGTGAATTTTATTTTAACTCTCTCACAACAAATAAGCACAGGTAAGAGTAACCATTTTGGATTATTGCTCCCACACAACCCTTCTAATGTATGACTGTACTTTTAAATAAAGAAGGTATTTAGAAGCTACGGATCTTTTGGAAGGTCCTCCCTTTAAATAAAAGAGTGTAGGATTTCCAAGCAAAATCTTGAATACTTTCATTTTTATTAGTCTCATGCTGGAATGCTGATTTATGTCCTGTATATAAAATAGCCAAAATATATGGAGAGTGTTCTCATTGAAAGTATTCAGTGATCTATATTTTCCTCAGCCAAGGACAGTATGTCATTTTTGGGTGGCATGTCGAGGCCACAGTCCAAAATTGCATGTAAAAGTGTCAATGGGGTCATCATACATTGAAACAATGGGTGTAGTTGGGTGATAAAAGTCATGTTCCTTTTTACCAAGCATTGCACATATCAGTCATTTTATTTGATCGCCCAATTGTACCCATCATTTTCACACAATTGATTCCCCTCTCTCCATTGATGCCCTCCAGAATAGTGGAGGAGACAAGGCAAAATCTACATTTGATTTACAAAACTACTTTTATATTAAATATTGTTGATTATAGTTTCGAATTATATTTTAATACCCACTTCATTACAAAAAATAATGAAGTATAGCTATTTGGACGTGTGGCTGGGGAGATTAAAGTTGGGTTTGCTGATCTAAATTTGATAATTTTTTATCCAAATAAATTTACTTGTATTACTACATGTGAATTAAACTTGTTTCTTCTAATTGGCAATCTAGTAATATTATTCTTTTCTTTGCTTGTGAAGTTTATAATATTTCTAATCTACAAAGTAAAATGAAGTAATTTTGTATTTTCTTTCTTAAGAGATTGGATGAATTCTCTTTCAAATTTTCCATCTGATTATCATTTTTGTTTGTTTGTTTGTTGATTGGTTTGAGTTAGTAAACATTGTGCAGTCTCTGAACATCTACCCAATGAACAGCAGTTGTGTAATAATGTCCTGGACACTTTTACCTATGGATTATGTGGTTACATCCTTTGTAATTGAATGGATCAATCTAAATGGAGAAGAACAAATTAAATGGATAACAGTTCCTTCTAATGTTAGGAGGTATCATATATTTGGTGAGTTTGAATATGAAAGCATATGCTTCTGTTTTGTTGTTGTTGTTACAACAATATTTATGTTGGAAGAAAAAAATAAACTGAACATGAGATAAAACATAGAAGGATAAGAAATTTTGTATATACATTGATTTATTGAAAACTAATGAAGAATGAAAATTCCTGAAAAAGTCATGTTAAGTCATATTTAATATAATTGCATTCATTTGTTTAAAAATAGGAATTTTAAAATTCCTCCCTTAATTTTTTGGCAACATATAAGAAATTAAGCAACTGCAGGTTGCCCCAACTTAAATTGTGGTAGATGTACAAGAAGAGTGTTATTGTTATATGTAGTAACATTTTATTCATGATTTTGAGAAGCTATTTGTAGCTCTCCATGTCAAAGCAATAGAATATAGGAAAATGCCAGTTTTCCAAACTTGTAAGTCTCAAACTGGTGCTTGATTTTCTTTAATTCTGAGGCTTTCTATAGCTGTGAGTCTCTTCTATGAATTTGACTGACTGTGAGTTGCTGGTAAGTTAAACATTATTGCTTTATTCCAGATAACTTCGTTCTCATTGAGAAGTACAGATTCAGTTTATATCCGGTCATTAATGAAGGAATCACAAAACCTGCGATAACAGAAGGATTTTCCAAAGGTGATTTTAGTGAATTATTACCTTAGAACTTCTTAAATAATAATGAGAATACAAATAATACTAGGACACGGTTCATAACAAAAATGAGTATATGTTAAAAACTTTTTTCCACTTATGTTTATATTCCAGTTAGTAGAGAGAATGTAAAAGCTGCTTGCAAAAACAAGTGGTTTGAAAGAGATTGTGTTGTTAATGACTGCTGCCACTCAGACTACAAAGGATCATACAAGTGACACATTTCGGAACAGTCACATATTTATCATGCAAATTGTTTATCTATCATATCTGGCATACTTCCTCCACTTAAACTCACAAGATGGCACTATAGACACAGCTAATTTTGTTAAGTGTTAAAGCAGCCAAAAACATATTACTAAGTCTACTGGATTGGACTGCATTCTTGTCCCAACTGAAAAAAGATACACAGGAAGCAATAAAACAAAAGATACTAACCTTGTGTATGATTCATGGCTTAAATTCTCATAGGAACACAGTTTTTTTCTTCCATGGTAGCATTTTTTAAATTAAAAGGAGGATGGCTAATTTCAAATATCACAAGAAGAAATATGGTGAGCCTGATATTGGCTGATTAAATACAGAACCAAACAGGAAACAGAGCTCCTTCAATATTTTAAGAAACAATTCATATGGAAATGTGAACTTGTTCATGGGCAGTAGGTACTCCTGACTATTTTGATTAAACTGAAGCTAAAATGCTGCTCCCTCAATCTGCTCTTCAAAATTGCCTAGTTGAATGCATATCTTCTCTGAGAAGATGGGACCAAAATAGGATTTAAGTAGTACTGCCTTTTCTTTGTTATCTGTTCTGCCCTCCTCAATGAGCAGCTGGTATATTGATTGTTTTCTTTGTTACTCTGAACATCTCTAAATAAGCCCTTTTGCTAATCTCAGTACATTCTGGTTTTTTGGTTTCCCTGACATCTCTCTATAAATCTAAGTATATATGTACTGTTCCTTGGTAATATGTCTCTCATTCTACCTCTTAAATGTGCCTTTTTGAATTTTCAGTTTTTTCACTAAACTTTATGAGCAATTCCATTGGTTTCTTCTGCTCCCTTCCTTTTTATTTCCACATTTTAATTATTTCCAATTTTTCTTTTTAGAATCTCAGTTTTCAGAAATTTCCATTCATCTGTGCATACCTTTTCCATTTTTCTCCTACTACTGTAGGAGAATATATAATTATTAAGAATTTTTACAATTGGATTCCTTGAAGTCTAAGATATGTGTTTCACTATACTATATTTTCTGCCCCTAGCCCAATATTCTTACTTTTTTTTACATTGTATATGAATTATTAGCTACATATTAGTTAGAAACAAGCCAAGGAATGCTAATTCTGTTGTAGTTTTCTCCCTTCTCTGAAGAAAAATATTGTCGATCAAGCTGACTCTTGAGTGTCTTGGAAGGATTATTTTGTTTCCCAACAAATGTCTGAACAATAAAGTCTCCCATCAGTCACACCTTCTCTCTTTGAAGACTCAAAAATTGAAAAACTTCATCTACATGAAAACTTCACTTATATCTTATGATTAATATTATTGAATCATTCGTAGTAGGTTTTCAAAATAACTCAAGTTTTATTCCTTTTTCCATTTATTATCCTTATATTTCAGTATCACAACCAAGTTCTTTGCACTGAATTTCTGTGGTAATGTGGATATTTCATGTGAATGTGATCACAAAGAAAATAATTGGAAGAATGTTTGTTCTCCATCAGTTATACAATGTTTATAGGGACTGTAAAAAGCATGCTTATTGACATAATAAAGTGAGGCTGGATGACAAAAAGTTTATATGAGAGAATGACTGGCAAATAAATTTGAGAATGATAGAAACAATATAGAGAAAAAGAGTGGTGAAAATATAGTCAATGAGAGCAAATAATGGTTAAGATTAAAAGGTACAGAGAAAAACAAAGTATTTTAAATTGGTGGCAATTTAAAAACTATCTTGGAATTGAAAATTGTTAGAGTCTTCAGCAGAGTAAATGGAATTAAAAATGATTAAATATTTTGGGATGAAAATAAAGTGAGGGAATGCTAGAAGTATTCTAGAGATCTATATGGAAATAATAAGTAGGTATCAAAAGTGAAATTAAAACAAATGCTATAAATGTACAGGTAGTCCTTGACTTATGACTGGTTGGTTATGATAAACTTCAAAAAAACTATTTTTGAACTGTTCCCCAAATGACTGCTGCACCTTCTCCCTCATGGTCAAGTGATCAAATTTCGGGCCCTTGGCAACCAGCTCACATTTATTCATGGTCACATTATTATGATTTGCAATGGTTATTTTTTT